ATGTTTGGGCATTCATTGTTCCAATGTGCCCCGCCGCAATGACGGCATTCTGAGGGAGGCTTTCTCCCCTGATTGTTGTTGATGGATGCAGCACTGTTGCTGTTGGAGGGAGGAGTCTTAGTTTTGGATGCACTCCGATCTCCCCCACTTTTGCTTGGGCCACCATTGCTGGGATGGTTCCCGTTGAATCCCCCTCGGACGGATGGTTGGGGCCTGTCGTTCTGAGTTCCCAAATGATAATTGCCAAGGCATTCTGCAGCTTGAATGGCCTTGGGCAGGGTGTCTACCCGTTGTCTCTGTAGTTCCATACGGGCATGAGGTTTCAAACCTTCTATGAATGCGAAGAGTTTGTCTTTGTCCCCCATGTCGCGTATGTTTAGCATGAGTGCGGAGAATTCGCGCACGTACTCCCTCACTGATCTGGTATAGCGGAGGTCCCGTAGCTTTCTCCTTGCATTGTATTCCACATTTTCGGGGAAGAACTGCAGGCGTATGGCTACCTTCAATTCGTCCCATGTCTGAAGAGTATCTTCACCGGCCTTGATGGCTTCGTATTTGACCCGCCACCAAAGTTTGGCATCGCCCTGAAGATACATAGCAGCAGTCGCGACCTTTTTGGATTCTTCCAAATGGCCTACGGCATCGAAGTATTGTTCGATGTCGAAGATGAAGTTTTCCACTTCTTTAGCATCCCGGGATCCGTCGTATGGCTTTGGCTCCGGTATCTTAAGCTTTTGTGGAATGGGGGTAAGGTTTGTTGCACCCCTGATGTGGTTGTTGCCTCCTCGAAGTAGGCTTTGTAGGGCAGCATTGACAACATTGAGCTTGCCTGTCAAGTCGTTTATGGTTTGATGCATGGCAGTTAGTTTGTCTGCCTCTTGTTGCTGATGGGCCAAATCGTCGGCACACTCCTGTTGGAGGTCCTCAAATTTGCCATGAATATTGGCAGTTTCGATGGCTGCCGTTTGTCGGTCATCGTCAAAGTCACGACTGATGTTTGCAATGTCATTTTCTGCCTGCCGCATTCGGCGCTCCAGGTCGTCCAACCTTTGCACTAGGTTGTTGTTTTGATCAGGCACCGTATCCACGATGGGTCGTAATCGGTCAACCGTCTCTTCTAGGGATGCTAGACGCTCCCCATGATTCACCATGGTCAGAAATGGTGATGATGGAAAATGTGTTCCCTCGTCCAATGTCGAGCCTAGGCTCTGATACCAACTGTTACGCAACGCCTTCCTGATGTTCTTTGAAAAGGCAACGTAAGGCTAAGCAACCGATGTTAGTGCGATTGCGGTCCGCCAATGAGGTCCCCTCCGCACGCTAGACTAGATTGTCAGTGTCGTGCAGGAAAACCAATGTCATGAGCAATTGCGGAAGCTAAGTGAATTGGGTTTTGAATGATGATGATGATTTTATTGATGACTGAAATGATGATTACAAAGATGTGGTGTCGAGGGGGAGAGACACCAGAAAAATGCTTGCTTGAAATGTTTGANCAGCCCATGACAGAGCGCATACGACGTTTGTAGACATATAACAGTGGGTTAAGGAAATGAATATTTGAATTTTACTATCAACCAGACACAAGTTTGATGTTTTGAAAAGACAAAAAGGAGTAACTGCCAGATCGGCTAATGAATATCTTGAGAGCAAAGTGTGTTCGCCTCCATCTTCACTTGTGCAGCAAGCAGAATTTCTCTATAACAATAGGGTAAGGAACATTTCTGATGAATAAAAAGTTGGATATCGCATGTTACACGCTGTTACACATGATACAACTATACACAACTTGAAACCCAAAATTGAAAATTGGGACAACATTACCGCGTATTTTTACCAAAATTACAGGCCATGTAGGCAACATAACTGAAATAATCAGCACACTTGAAGCGTTGTTGCACAAGAGATACAACCTGGCATTGTTTCAATAAAGTTGAAAAATGTGCACGAAGACCCTATTCCAAAGCAATAAGACCTCTCATGATTTGACATCCTTCAGCACTCCGCCCTTCTCAAGTTCACTAACAAGGTCTCTCAATGCTGGAACCTTCATGGCAAGAGTCCTGTAGAGTCTGGAATATCGAGCTCTGGTTCCGTCTGCTGTCCTTGCAAGAGCAAGCAAGCTTAGAGCCTCTGGGAGCTGTGTGAATAACTGCTTCATCTCATCCAAGCTCATATTTTCAAGAACGGTTGGTCTTGGAACAACTCGGACAATCTCACCCCCTTTAGGCTCCTGAACTCGTGAATCAGCTTTAATAACCAGTTCCGAGTTCGAGTTAGCTCCACATTTGATGATGAATGGGTTTGTTGAACCTGTGTTGAACTGAAGAACATTCCACTGTGCCACGTCAGTTTCACCCCCTAATCCCACATCCGCAGGATGTCGAGAAGCATGTACGGTGTCATGAAGCGGGTCATCCTCTTCAGGAATCGACTGTGTCAAATAATTAGCAAGATAAAATACATTAGTTGAAATCAGAAAGAGTATCCTAGTTGAATGACCATCTCATATATCTACAAATAATGTTGGACTAGATTTTTGTAATTCAAAATGATAGTTCCTATATCATTTCAGCAATTTATGTTCGTATTATCTTCAGCGTTTAGCTCTGGTATCATTAATTCCCTTGTGACAGCTCAGCCGCAGTTGGCAAATAGTATCCACTCACATACTCAAAACTAGAAACAAGTGAGTCTCTCAAAAACAGTATTTTCACTTAAGTAAATAGAATGTTATCACATCTACACCCAACCTCAGAGCAGGTAACAGCAAACATGCCTTCCTCAGCTAATTGAAGAGCTGCACAGCTACAGTGCTCATGAAAATTTGCTACTAAAACAGCCAGCCCGGTGAACAAAGCATCCCGCTTTCACGCAGGGTCCGAGGAAGGGCTGCACCCCAAGAGGGTGTGAGGTAGGCAGCCTATCCTGATGCAAGCATCAATGACTGATTCCACAACTGGAACCCATGACCTATAGATCACACGGAGACAACTTGACCGTTTCTCCAAGGCTCCCCTTGGAAAATTTGCTACTAAAACATTGTCTAATAATCTCAACATTTGGACTCCTATCTTCAGGGATGACAAACAGAAGCACCAGATATTAAACAACCACCGGGGAAATTAAAGTAGCCATGTACCTCAACAGCATGCCTAGCTTCTTCAATGTGCCTCCGAGCACATGGATGATCAATATCAAGCAAGGAAGGCATTCGTTCTGCAAGTTCATCTAGAGAAGCAAGCATAGCTTTCTTCCTACTCTTACTGAGGGTGTTCACAGAGGATTGCCTCAATACGTCCTGTTAAAGTTAATTCATCAGATTGGTCTTGCCTCTTGATCCACCAGAACAATTAAAAAACAAAAGATGCAGAGGAAAGAGACTAGCAAATTAATAGAAAACCTTGACTAGTTTCAAAATGCCATCAAGGGAAACCAAGGATGCAAGTCGGGCATCTTCAGCTGCAGTGGAAGGATTTCGAACTGGTGAACTTCCATCTTCTAATGTCAACATTGCCATATCTATTCTCATTTGTTGCAAAATCTGATTATGAAAGTAACATGAGTCATACTTGCCTTCCAACCATCTCAATTCAAATAAAATGCTACATGCAAGAATAATGAGTTTATACGACAAGCTGTGGGATATTAAGTAGCCTAGGCATAAGGATACTGTGGATAATCATCCTCAAACCAATTTTTTAACACCTCATGGAATCTTTCAGCAGTTCAGGAAATAGACTTACACTGAAGTTCTTGCTTTACAGATTATCGAGCAATTGTGGTTCACTCAAAGTATTAATTAAGTCACCAATAGAAGAAAATGTCATGTAATACGGCTTTCTTAATCAAAAGAGATCAATAGTAAATATACTAGATAATCTACAGCTTTGTTGGTTCATCGGTACCTAAGGGCAATTAGATCAGTATCACTTGGAGATTACATATATTATCAAGAGTAGCAATTCAATTTACTAACACACCTTTCTTCTTTTGTGATCAACAGATTCTAAAGCTGAACGCAGCTTCGCCACCTGTGTAGAGTCTTCTGCTGCTTCAGTTGCCAGTGTACCTGCAATGTCCTGATAAAGAATCGAATTAAAACAGCACAAGCAGGAAACAAGGCAAAAGAGAGCCCCTAACTAGATCCAATCTAGTTTTCTTGCCTAAAACTGTATAAAAACACGACAAATTTTAAGCTATTAAAACTAACTAATCCATATTAAGGTTGTGCTGGACAAACACTGCAGTGTGTTTTCCTCTCTTTTTTTCCAAAAATATATGTTGGGTTATCCCCCAACCCTACCCCCAAATTTGGGGGGGTCGTAGTTCAGGAAACCTTTTCCTGCAATAGCTGCCAGAGGGACAAATAGCATAAGCTGGTCGGAATTTAAGATTTGGCTTTATACATGCAACCAAATTGCACTACTTGATAAAATGGTAAAATATGGCTTTGAAAGAGTTGCCCTGAGTTAAAAGTGTTCAGCAGCCGATGCTAAAGCTATGCTGTTTCTTTGATAAGTGAGGATAAGCTAACAAGACCACCCACGAATGAGCAAAATCTGCCTACCAAGAGCCCATTCAGGCAAAATTAAGATTTTTAGTAAGATTGGATACAACTCTAGATTTTTCTTGTGTCTCACGTGGAGGACCAAATCCTCGTGTTTGCATAGTAATTAGTAAGTTAAGAACTTCTAAGCAGATGACATCTTCACTAAGAAGCTTCTTCGGCCTTTGGCAACCATAGACATGCGAATACCAACTTGTCAGGGAGAAAGCAGGAAAGAGAGAAGTTTTGGTGGCCCATCCGACTTTTATTTTGTGCCAAGGGATGAAAGAGTGAGAAGAGGAAGAGGAAGAATTTATTATTTTTCCCATCATATTTAAAGTTCAGAAGCTGCCATCATGTCTAAGAGATGGCAAGGAATTTCAGATCAAAAATAGCTCAAAACCACAAATCACTACTCCTTCCAAAACAAAGAGAATACAGAAGACATAGATAAACAATCATTTTACACACCAAGCAAACAACAGAAGTGACTAATACAAGCTAACTCAAACTCAAACACATACTGATCTTAGAAGCATAATCCAAATCAATAAGAAACCTATACCCATTACATTAGAGTATTGCTGACAAGCAGTTTCTTTAACTTAAAATCCCCCTACGTCACTATAACAGATCGTAAGCCAAAATTAGTACACTGCTTCAAGATTTGGATTCA